CCGATTAGCTCAACAGGTACCAGGCCGAGGCACTGGAACAGAACTCCACTCATAAATCAATTTAGCAGCACATAGTCACGCGCTGCAGCTTTGCAGCTTCATAAATGCATCGGCGGCCGCAATTGCAACATAATGAACCGACGCGGGCCGTAATTTGTCTATTATGGGGTATTGTTTAGCGCCCGAAACCCAAGGCTGCCGGGGCCTATTCACACTTGTGGGCGTGCGCCAACCGCTGGAGTCGGGGGTCACAATCCCAATCCCAATCGCAATCGCAGTCGCAGTTGCAGTCGCAGCCACAGTTGCTGCACAAATGCATACAATGCCACATATGTCGCGCTTAATTAACCCCAAACAATTTCAGCTGTTTGGCTGCCTGACATCGACACACACACACACACACACACACACACACGTAGCATAACACACATACACACAAACTAACACCGCCACACACAAACACGCATATTAGTCGCACGTATAATATGCAAGTATCCTATACAAAGTATATGCGATGAAATTAACGTATTTCTTTTTCCGAAAACCCCTCTTGTTTTTTGATAAGTTTCGAAAGCCCAGTTTTAAAGGAGTATTATAAACTTGTTACAGAATGTTCAATGTATAAAAGAGTTCTGCGAGCCCATAAAGTATATATATCGCTGAAAAATAGCTTAGACTAAAACAATGTTGATTGACTATATGTATATACTTAGTATAGTAAATATAATACCTTGCATATTGATTTTGTCTATATATAGTTGATAGTTCCCGCCGCTTGTTCACGGCATAAACGCATGCACTAAGAGTAGCTGCATTCGCGTTCATTCATTTGAAAGGCACGAGTTAGGCGCTCATAACTGGCGCACGTTTCTATGGCACCCGGCTGCAGCCGGGCAGCACAGTGACCCAAATTAATCTTAGTCATTAGCGGCAGCAAGTGTACGCCGGCAGTAATGTAGAACTCGGCTGACAGACACAGCATCAGGGAGCAAGGGAGTCGCATCCAAAACCTTGACTTGTCTATGGCTAGGCTACGCGCCGACAAAGTGGCAAAACTTTTGTTTCTGCAGTGTGAAGAGGGAGCGAGGGTTGACTGACGACAGCCACTGTTGTCGTCTGCACAGCTCGAGGCGTGAAAAATTCAAGTTCACTCGCACATCGGTTTAGAATCGTTCGAGACATGAAATAATTAAACTAAACCCGAAATATCGGTGCCATCCGCATGTGAAGACAAACATCTCGATAATATGTACATATCAAATAAATTCCGCCACCATAGGACTCTGCTTAGTCGAAGTTATGATGTTCGCATATATATGTTACACATAGTTTATAGTATATACTTTAAGTACTTTAGGAATCGCTTGACTAAATAATATATGTACAATCTTAGGTAAGTGTGTTCGCATTAGTTGTCCACATCGGTGAACTTGAAGCGGAACGGTATGGCTGGCTCCATAAGGAATAATGATTTGAATGGCTTGGAGGCATCGTAGTTAAACTCTACATGGAAGTTGCGTATCAGTTTGGCCAGCGAGGTCTCCATTTCTAGATCCACCACACGCTTGCCAATGCACATGCGAGGTCCGAAGCCAAAGGGCAGATACGTAAACGGAGTGACCCCTACCTTTTTGTTCGTCTCGGGATCACGCAGCCAACGTTCGGGCAGGAACTTGTCTGCTTGTGGGAAATACGCTTCTTCTTTCATCAGAACATTCGCACCAACCATAATCTGTGTGCCTTTGGGTATATTATAACCAGAAAGGGTAACGTCCGTGGCGCAGTTACGGAAGGTGCCCACTCCGTTGGGATAATAGCGCAGGGCCTCCTTGATAACGGCACGCAAATATGGCATGTCCTTCATACTCTCCTCATCCAGAATCGTTTCCTTGGTTGGCATCACACGCATCAGCTCAGCGCGTAGCTTGTGCTGTTTATCCTGGTTCTTGCTCAGGCACAGCAGCAGTGCACCCAAAAATGTGGAAGATGCGTCCACGCCGGCCAAAAGCAAGTCCAAACCCATGACGACTGCCACCTTGGGATCAATATTTATCAGTCGCTGCATCATGCTGTTGTTTACGCTCTTATCTCCAGACTGCAGTCGCCGCTCCTCCTCCAGCCGGGCTTCCTCAATCAGACGCTGTGAAATATCCACACTCTCGTTAAGAATGCGCATCAGTTTACGGAAGGTGGGCGTGGACACGAATTTCCAAAGAGAGGGCTGTATGTCCAGTTTAAAGGAAAGCTGAAATATCTGTCGCGACGACTTAAACAGACTCAAGGCGTCTGGATTATCACGGTTCTTGCGAATGATGCCCATTTGACGATTGAAGGCAATCAATGCAATCGACTCAAAGACCAGGCGGCTTATTTCCTGTTCAAAGTCAGCGGGCACTTCCAGAGTATGTGGATCGCGTATCTCTTTAATTCTGTGAAAACGATTCATAAGTATCTGAATGATCTTAAATATTTGCAAACTTACCGCTCAATGAACTCATTGTTAATGTTGGACAGCGGTTCGTAGTACATCTTCAGGCCCCTGGGCTGCATAAATACGGGGTTCACAGCCGATCGAAACTTGCCCCAGCCCTCGTGTTGCCTGCACAAACAGATCCAATAAACAGCTGATCATTTTTAATAAACAGACGACTACTTACGCGGCTATGAGGCCCTTCAACTCCCCAAACACTTCCGGCCTTACTTTCTCGCGAAAGTAAACCAATGAATCGAGGCCCTCGCGTTGTGGCCAAATACCTTCGTTGCGAAACACCGTCTCAATGTCTTTGGCACTGAGGGCGGCCAGAAAATCGGGCCGTCCAAAAAAACCCGGTATAATAAAGAGATCGCCATAGCGCTTACGCATGGTGATGGCAAAATCCAAAAACGAGTTGTCATAAAACTCTCCGCCGGGCATAAAACCGCGCAAGATCTTTACTTTCCTTGGTCGCGGCACTTCGCTAAAGGGACGCGCCTGCGCAGCAGCAACATCATCGGCCGGCTGTGAAAAAAAGGTTCACATTCTTTAATTTCATGCAATTCCGTTAACCCTACATCAAATGCAGCTCACGTTGAATGCTGTCGCGGCGTGCACAGATCTGGCGCCAGCCAACGCAATTTGTCGCGCTTTTATAAAAGACATTTTTTTGTTGTCAGTTTCCTACTGCGACTGCATCTGACCAAAGCGCCGCTCAAACTAAAAATTACTGCAAGCTCTCCGCACCTTTATATACGAATCGAGCGAAGCTAGGTGAGAGACAAACCAGATCAACAAATAACTGTGGAGCGGCATCTCTCTCTCTCTCACTCTCTGTCACTCTCACTCTATTGCTTATCATCGCCTGTGTTGTGTATGGGACCTCGCTGGGCATGCTTAAGGCAAAACAAATATCTTGAATGTTTTTTTTTTTCAGTCATTGTCAGCAAAATGCTCTGGGCCTAAAAAGCTGCCTGGTCACAATGAATATATCGGGCAAAAAATGCTTTGTTTATATGACTCGGCATAATTCATAGCTTCTCTTGATTATATTCGCCTACCAATACTTACTCACACAAACACACATACATACTTGTGCACATGTTTGTCATTAAATTAACGCGTGATAACAAAAGCTTCACACACTGTAAAAAATAATTAATCGGTACATAATACAAATACGTTGGTTCTTAGGAGCTTTTAAAAATTTAATTTCTCTGTGCTCGCCCAAGATATGCCCTGAATATTTCATTCCGATTTTAAGATCATTAGTTCTTTCAAATTTTAAGATCATTAGTTAAAGCCGTAAATAAGCCGAGCTTTCAAAATTTTCAACTGTTTTAACTTTGTAAAATTTTTATATATAGATATAGGCCTACCGATCTTTATTGTAGATTCAAAGCTCATTTTGTAGATTTTCGATACTTACCGGATTCTTTGTTAATGTTGGCAATCATTTTTTAAACAACAGCAGATAATTATTTACAAAGAGACGACTACTTACGCAGCTACAAGGTTCTTTTGTCCACTGACCTAAATGAATCAATGGTCCCGTGAAGCGAACAAATATCTTCCTGCGCCATAGGAATCCCCAATCCATAGTTACAACTTTTCGTAGAATTTTAACTGCACTTAGTCAGTATTTTAGCTATTTTTATGACCATTTTGATTATGGTTTGACCTCTAGATTCAACACTCAAATTACCCAACCTGAATCTTATACTTTTTCCTTCATTTACTATTGCTATTAATATAATTCACTTAGAAAGTATAGCTAACTTACGCCAGGACTTACCTTATGTAGCTTATTTAAAAATTGCAAAAAATTAAATATATTTTCTGTTAATAAAAATAAAGTTAGCATACGCAAAATCTTACATCTTACAAAAATATAGTTTTCTTTTTAGCGAAGAGCAGCCACAGTCATGGGAAAGCACAATCAAATGACCAAAACATTGTGTGGCGCGGCAGTGATAATGAATTATAAAAAGTAGCAAACACATAATTATGGTGATTATCCATCCACAGGGAAAGCAGGTCGAGAAGCGGGGCGAAGATGGCTAAGAAGCTGCCACCCAAAGTAAATGCCAACTAAGTGGCCCGGCCGCCTGCACTAATTGTGAGTAACACATTCACGTTTACAACTTTAAGAGAATTTGCCTCGGAAAACAAGAGACCGGCATGCAGGCTGGCAGTCAGGCAGTCAGCCAGTCAGGCATCCAGTCAACCGGCTAGACCAAGCCAGACGAGAGTCGGCCAGCTTAGACATTAAAGTTTGGCCAGCCAGCTCGTTAAATAGACCAAATTCATCTGGCCAAAGTTTAAAGTGTCGGCAGCCCGCGCCGACATTTATCAGTCATTAACACGGCCAACTACACAAAACAAAACAGCGCAGCTGTGGGCGGGGCAGCGGGCGTTGAAATGGGCACCCAATTAAAGCAGAGACTTTAATTTGCTTGCGGGCTCTAGCAGCAGCAGCATTAAAAATCAATAAATTTAAAACATTGTATGACAATAGAAAAAAAAAAACATCAGAAAGAACGCATGGCCCTGCCATAGATTCGATGCTAGAGAAAATTCTCTTCAGGGATGTTCGGGCTGTTGTTGTTGTTGTTGTTGCTGAGACGCAGCACAGAATCGCCGAGCCAAACATCCTTTGTCAATACAAAATACGTACAACAAATCAAATAAAAGCACGACAACAACATCAACAACAACAACAAACCGAATGGCAACAAAGACAAAAGTCAAAAGTGCAAAAACAAAAGCAAAACCCACCAAGCGCCCCCAAAATGCAAGCCGAATCCTGGAACGGAAACGGGAACGGGCAACGAGAACGAGAACGGGTCCAGGATCAGCGCATGCGCCCAACTGGCGAATCTCACGAAGCGGGGAAACCCACTGGCCTCTGCTTGTGTGCACGTACATGGACATGGCTGGGGTTGATGTTGGGGTTGGAAGGGCGCATAGGAAATGTTGTTACAAACGTCGGATAAAATGGCGTTGCCACGCTTTGGGGGCGCACCCACACACAAGCACACTCACACGCACACACACACACAGATATTTCTCCTCCATTTTGAGAAAATTTCCTGCTTCGAGCACAGCAGTCGATAGCCACGTCTGGCCGAACTGAGCAAATGATTTTTAACAAATTTCATTAACATCAGAGGTCCGTAATCATTCAAGCATCGCGTTTCGTAACTGGCCTGACGATACCTTTCACGCTGGCCACTCTCAGCCATTCGAAAGATATCCCGATGCATATTTACCTGCAGTTCACCTGGCGCGACCTCCAATAACATTCATAAAACAGCGTGAAAAGTGCCGTCAAGAGCAACGCAAAAAAAAAACGTGTTTCAATTTAAAACTGACGAATTAGAACAATATTAAAAGTCGGCTCAGACCTGCGGACAGTTTGTGCTTGTGAACATTTGGTGGCTGCGAGAAACCATCAAAATGATCGACGAACAGCATCCCATGCAAATAGGCCTATGTAAGTATTGGTGTGTCTGTGTTGCCAAAACTATAAAGCCTTTTGGCCGTGCAACATAATAAATGCCGTCGCAACGGCAAAAGCTTTCGATTTTACCGACGGCCTTTTGCAAAGTATTTAAAATGAACGTAAATCAGCTTAACTTTTGTCATAAGGGGCAAGTCTCGATAAAATTAGTGAATTTCCGTAGATATTAATTAAGTTCGGAAGGTAAAGTCATAATAGAACAGCTTACTACTTATTAAAAATAATATTATTTAATATAAATTTAAATTTAAATTACTTTCCCAGCCAATATCTGACACTTGTTACACAATTCTATAAATGTGAAGACATTTAACGATATAAAATATCAATACAATAATTCGTAGATCTTAAAAATATAAAGAAAAAAAGAAGAATTAATGTTTATGTGCGAAATTCTATCAATTCTAGTTTATCGACTAACTGTGTACAAAATGTAGAAAAAGTAAGTTCAAACACTCTTGAAATGTGCGACAGCACCCCCTTGGGGGCTATGAGACAAGGGCTACATAATTGGGCCATATAATTAGAAAAGTTTCATTTAAAATATACTTTTAAACTCCCAAAACAAGATAACACTCATCTATGAGAAGCGATAATTAAGGCAACGTTCTTTAAGCAATGATTACGTTTGTGATTTTGAAACATTTTGGGTTAGAGCGCTGGAAAATATTTGATTCTTTAAATAACTCGAATAAACTCGAAAGGGTGGCTAATCATAGAACATTTCAAAAATTTTTGTTTTGCACTGACATTAAAAGTCGATTGGCAACCCATTCTTGATTTAAACAAATTTATTTCCAATAATCAATAACTGGGTTTCCAGACTGGGCTTGTCATGCATAAATTGGAGACTACAAGAGCTGTAAACACCTGAATATATATTTTCATATTTTTTTAAGAAACCATTTCCGCCCACTCTCTTGAGAAAAATTCTTGCTTCTCGAAGAAATGTGTATAACTATGTACATCGATTTTATATATAAATAAAACACAACAATACCTGACGAAATTCGCATATTTTTAAATATACTTATATTTTTCTTACCAAATAGTGAGTACTTGTTGTTTGAGCACAAACTGTCAGCGAGTGCAGCACTTGCCACTTGAGCGAAGTGTGCTTAAGTCGAGCAGGCAGCGGGCCAAAAATCTGGACACATTTTATAGTGGGCAAACAACAAATGCTGACTTCTGTCAAAGATTAGGCCAAAACAAAGCATTTATGTTTATGTGTATCGCTGGCACAACAAAACGGCGCCATAATTTCATTGTCCGCCCAAATCCGATTAAATTAAACGCCAGTCGCCGGCAACAACTCAGCAGCGACTGACAAACGGCGGCAGCGGCTGCACACAGTATCCTGGCAAGGGTTTCCGCACGCCCGCTGCTGCCGAAGACTGCCAACATATGCCGCCAGCAGCAGCAGCCGTAACCAACGTAATGAATCCTTACCCCCGCCCCTAACCCTGCCATCCCCTGGCAGGCCACACATATCTTAGGCACGGGGTGAGCCAAGCCAAGCGTAGGGGTTGAATCTCTGGCGTCTCGTTTAGCCAGCGCACGCATTACTCGTAAATTCTATTATAATTTAGTTATAAGTCGCCTGGCAGGGTGATTTCCGCAACGCCCTTCTGATTTTTACTGCACATTAGAATCTAATTAGTGCGGCGAAAGCGCAGCGGCAATGTCTATCAATGTCGCCTTTGCACTTGTCCACACAAATCCGCTGATGCTAGGCGCTGACATGTCCAGCCAACATGCTGACATCCTCCTAACAGCCAAAGGACAAAGGACAAAAGTGTAACAGGTGCGCCAGCTGAGCGGATTAGCACTGCAGCAATCCAAAGTAGCTCGCATTAAAAGAGGTGTCCCAAGTCAAATGTATGCGATGATGAGAGTGCAGCAGCAGCAGTTGCTCTTGACAATCGAACTACGGGAACTACAAAACATATGCTTATATAGAAATAAATCTGTTCAATTGATCTAGCGATAGCCGTGTGGACATGAGCACCAAGAGTTCGAGTCCAAAAGGCGGGGTATCGCACAGTATGATATCTAAGCTGTAGGCCAGACAGGCTTAGACAGTTCTATTATTTAGTTAGTTAAATAGTTTTACTTTTTTGCTAAAGTTATAATGCTTAAATAAAATGAGTAAGCCGGAGAGAACTTCGATATTATCATATAAACATACAAATATTGGTCCTGATTAAAGACATAGTTTAAATTATTCGAGCTAAAAGACTGACACTTATTCGATAATTACCTTATTTGTAAAAGGAAATTCGGAAATTCCAACCAACAGTTGTGAAAAGCATATGTTAAAGTATAAAAAGTATCACTAATCTAGAACACATGCCTACCTTAATGAATTCCAATAAATAGTTATCAGATTTTTCGAGCCATCTGGGTAGGTAAATTCGTGGTTAATAACTAAAGTAGTGGGATGTGAAAGGGATTTGTGGCTGAATTTTAATTTGCACATAACACAAATTGTATTTCTTACACGTGAGACCACAATGCAAATTGATAACGTAAATTACTTTAAAATGTTGCACATATTTCTGGCATAAATTTTGCATGCCACAGAAATTTTTGTGAAAATTTAATGAAATTACGTACATGTGAAATCATTTAAATACAAAATGACAAACGCAGATTGTGAAGTCCTGTGCACACACACGCACACACAGACGGACAGATATAAGAGTCAAAGTGTGTGTATGTATTTGCACACATGCATGTCAAGTAAATAAAAAAAGAGGAAACCTGCGCATAAAGGCAAAACAATAACAACTGAAAAAGCGCGTAACGAAGCAAGATAAACGGTACACACACACACACACACACACACGCACTCAGTGGCAAACAAATTACCGTACAATTTCAACAATTTGCCATAAATTGAGACAACAAGCAACAAAAAGCCAAACAAACAGCCAACAGCCAACAGCAGCAGCAGCAGCAACAACAAATGCCACAAATGTACAGTCATTTTTTGCCACCAACTCGAACAACCGCACTCGCACAAACAACAATACGTATACGCAGCGTTTGCCATATAAAAGCAAGTGCGTGGAATTTTGCAGTACGGCCAAACAGACGGACAATGGGACAGACATATGCATACGGTCGGTCACGCACATATTTCGCTACAAAAGTCATTTCAATAATTGCAAAACCACAAATTTACTACAACTCGAAATGGTTGGCAAATGGTCACACTCACAATAGGGTGTGTGTAAGTGTGAGTGTGTGTGTGTGTGTGTGTGTGTGTGTGGGGCAGCAGCATCTCGCCAAGTGGAACCGCAAATGCAAATCCCGTTTGGGACATAGTTTTTGCCACGGACAACAGGCCGCAGTTGTAAATTTGAGGCAGGCGCACACGCTTGGCCGCAATTTGCATGCCAATGTGAAAATAAAAATAACTGAAATGTTTCTCATTTGCATGTATGGGCCTGGTCCATGACACAACCGCAAAAACCAAAATAGTTCCAATGGACATCAAATGTCAACAGCAACAGCAGCAGCAGCAGCATCCCCACCACCAGCATCACCAACAGCACCAGCAGCAGCAGCAGCATGTAACTGGAGCTGGACACACGCAGCAGCCGGCCGCAGGACCCATTGCAATGGGGCACAATCAACTGCTGTTGCACGGAAATGAGCGCATGTTAACAACAACAACTACAACAGCAACAACAGCAACAGCGTCCTGTCAGCCAACAGCCAGCAAGACAGCAGCAGGAGCTGCAGGAACATCAGCAGGAGCTGGCGGCTCCGGCAACTCCCACAATGACAAAATGGCGTCAGCCAGCCGAAATGTCAACGGAAGTTGTATCAACCACAGCAGCAGCATGGCCACCGCACAACAACAAGCTCTGACGATGACAATGACTAGACAGGGACCGGGGCCGGGTCCGCCAATGCAGCTGAGCCAACGCGTCACCTTGGGCGAATGCAGTCTCAATGACTTGGAGGGCTTTTCGGCTCCCACGGCGCCGCCGACATCCTCAACAGCACCGCACACACCGCAAGCGCCTCAACTGCAGCAGCAGCACACGGTCATGGGCATGGCCATGGGCGGGGATGTGGGCATGAGCATGGGCATTAGCATGGGTCCAGCGCTCAACCAGTGCACCTTCTGCTGCCAACCAATTTGTGATCGTTATATCATGCGCGTGGTGGACAACTCGTTTCACGAGGGTTGCCTCAAGTGCACCGCCTGCTCGCTGCATCTGGTGCACTCCTGCTATGCGCGGGACGGCAAGCTCTACTGTCGCATTGACTACGAAAGGTAGGTGGGTCGGTGGGTCTGGCTGTCAGAGTGACCAGTAAAGAGAGATTCCAATTCACAGACTCTACTTGCGTAATCGTTGCCTTGGCTGCGGCCATAAAATTGCCGCCGATGAACTTGTGATGCGCTCACAGGAGAATATCTTCCATCTGAAGTGCTTTGCCTGCGTCGTTTGCGGGGCGCTGCTGAAGAAGGGCGAGCAGTACGTGGTCAAGCAGGGACAGCTCTTCTGCCGCTTCGACTATGAGAAGGAGGTGGAGATGCTGCAGGGCTACGGTGAGTCATCCAATCGATTTGTTCCCACTTCTGTCTTATGGCGTATGCTTATAGATTATTATGGTGATGACCTGTTCCCACCTAAAATGGACGGAAGACGGGGCCCCAAGCGACCCCGTACCATACTAAACACCCAGCAGCGACGCGCGTTCAAGGCGTCCTTTGAAGTATCACCCAAACCCTGTCGAAAGGTGAGAGAGAATCTGGCCAAGGACACAGGATTGAGTCTAAGGATTGTGCAGGTAAATATGATGCACTAGCAGAATATTCTTATGCTCTAATTTGTACTAAATACTGTTTAGGTCTGGTTTCAAAATCAGCGCGCCAAAGTTAAGAAAATACAGAAAAAGGCCAAACAGGAGCCGCCGGCCAAGGGTGTCAGCGACTCGCACTCGCAGGACTCACAGGAGTCGCATGACAGCAGCTTGACTGCCAAAATCAAGGACGAAGCACACAGTGATAGCGAGTCGCAACAAGAGTCGCCATTCTCCACAAACTCTGACGGACTGACGAGGCTGCGTTGCAACATCAAGGACGAACAGGAGCAGGGCACTTTAAGCTGCATGGAGACCAACAAGGGTAAGTGCCAAAACAGCAAAATTTCCAGCAAAATGTCAGCTAAGCCAAATCTCCGAAAAATCGACAGAAAACTGTAACAAGAATAGTGAGCCCATCCTGAACACCATTCTTGGACTGAGCTATGCCACCTTTCAGCAGCTGATGGGTCCCTTCACGCAAACGCCAATGATCAATCCGATCGATCGGCTTTACAGCATGCAGAGCTCCTATTTCAGGCCCGAAGAGCTGGGCGCCTACGGCGAATGCGGCGGTGGCAGCAGCAAGGAATCCATGGACCACTAGTCTCGCCAGCAGAATGCAACAATTTTAAGCCAAAATCAAAATTAGTATTTGTAAAATAAACAAAATGTTAATGTGCTAAAAACTCGCTTGAAATAGTGGTGCGGCACCGTTCGCTAAATGCAGCAGCACGTGCAGGACCCAACCCCGAGCCCGAGCCAGATCCCAATACGGTGCGGAGATCCGGTGCAACCACCCAGCGCAAGGTTGCGAGACTTTTTGGTTGTCCTGCAGGTGCAGCCATCGAAATTCGTTCCACTCAGTTGACAAGAACAAAGCATTTAACACAGCAGCAGCCACAACCACCCCGAGATGGGCATAATGCTTTAAATGGGCGTAAAATACCGATTCGTCAGGCATTGTTCGCCCGCATTCTATGTGTGTGCGCCCGGGCGACCCTGTTGACAGCGCCGGCCTGTCAATGTCAATCGCTGACTCAAGCGAACCCCATCATCCCCCATCAACTCAGCCGCCACCAAGCCTGGCTGAAATTGGGGGCGACTAACTATTGGCATGCAATAACTCTAAGGGGCCGGGCCAGAATAGAGAGTTGAATTCAATTCAAATCATGAAAACAAAAAAAAAAAACTAAAAATTAATTGTTCTAGTCAATGAAAAAAGCTCATGAAGTATTATTTGAATGTTAATATTTACTTAAACTATCGTTAAGCTACATTTAGTTTGTGTGGATCCTATGTTTCATATATCTTGGAATAACGTGTATCCATGTAGATTAAAGAGACTGCAAGAATTCACATTTCATATGGCAACATATTTGTTTAATGAGTTTAAGTACATAAGATATATCATTGGGATAGATATGTTATGAACTGAAAGAAATTGGAAATAAATGAGAAGCAAAGGGAATAAACTGACAGACAATTCATTTAGATAAGGCAACAATTGCAAGATATCGGAATAAGCATAAATGCTTAGAAGTATCAGAGATCCCCATTTTGCTTATGAAATATTCACAACTTGATCAAGCTTAAAAACAAGCGATTAAACGAGTGCAGATTCTGCAAATAGCAAACTTGATTTGAAACTTTCTGCCCTTATTGAATTTCAACGGAGAACAACACGTGTTTACATAGCCGTACCCATTGCCCCACCCTAAGTCGAACAGCCTCATGCAATTTGTCACAATATGTGTCACATTAGCCACAGCAATTGTGCTTAAATGTTGTCGTCGTACTGTTCCCTTACCGCTCGTCATCATTTGTGCCGCTAACCAGATTATACCCCAATTGCGACACCGATACTGCCGCGGAACGGGAGGTAGTCGAAGGCCGAGACGTGAAAGTAGCTAAACACAGGGCTAGGCCGCACCACCACTCGGTTCATGGCCAGAGCACTAACCACCATCGAATCTTGCGAGCAGCAATGCATCCGGGCACAAGCGCACACAGACAGGCACACACACACATGTGCATGCACATAAGTAATTTCTTTTACACGCTTTTCAAATGCACATCAGCGGCAAATGAAACTTTACTCGAATCGTTACGCAGGGCCACATCATTAATCAAATGCTGGAAGGACCAAACAAGTGCAAGCCCCGCTCTCCCCCCTGCCGCAGTGCAATGTAAATGACTGGCAAAAGTGTCTTGGCATTAAGTCCTTCTACCCATGTCCTGTCACCGAACTCACTTTTTTTACTATAAATAATCGAGTGGCATTTTAACACGCTACGAAAGAGTTGACCGTGTCGCTTCAAGGATCCTGTCGCGCTTTTAAGTGAACAAATTACGTAATTAAATACCGCCATGTCCAGAAGTAATGGGCATCCGGCCAATGTCTGTTTGCCAGACTTACAAAAAAAAAACAAATAAAAGGAAGATTTATGTAAATAAAAAATGGTTTCTGAACAAAGAGATCAGAACTGAGACTCAAAAGTAAATATTAAAAGATATCGGAGATAGATAATAAAAATTATTAAATCCCAACGAAATTCTTAAGCCAAACAAACTTTTGAGACTTTTTAGCAACTCGCATAGTGGAAACCAGATCCAAAAAACATTTTCTTAATGGACAAGCGCTTTATATATTTATGAACCGTTTGGCAAATCGCTTAACTGAACATTATGCAAATTTAATATCTACTCAAACTCAAGATATATAAAAATCGATTGCTGTTTGATTTTTATGGACAAGTCAACAGCGTAAAGGCTTTCAAAAGCCAATCAGCCAATGGCAAATGGTTGACAAAAAGAATTTTTTAATAATTTTTCATTGTCATAATACTTTTTGTAGAGTTCGCCCCATGCTGTTTGGCCTTCAATAAAAATCAAAAGCCAATTGTGTATTACCAATAAAAACAACGCAGCAAATGTAATGCACATAAAAGGCTGAAAAACGTGTTCGCATTTGATGTAAAAACAACACAGTCCAACGCTTGTCGGTATATTATTCTTATCAAGGCACGAAGGATGACAGGGAAAGTTGTGTGAAAATATATGGGGATTTATGAAAACATTTTGCAGCCTGGGAAACGCGACGATGGGAAATGACCGAGCCTTGAATCTGGTCTAAGTGGTCATTTCTTAAATAAATAAGAACAACTTTATATGGGGATAGTTGATAAAAGGAGGACAGGGCGCAAGAGATATATCTGGTAGATAATCTATAAAATATATTATTATTATTATTTTTTTATTCATTTTCCATACTTTTATTGTTATTTAACTAGTTAATATTTCAGACTCTGAATAAATGTTTAGCTATAGCTCTGAGTTTCCCTTTGCTTAACATTATATGTTTCGAGCATTTACAGTTTCTCATATTGATGTATCTATACATACGGACAGACGGATGGACTCGGATTTTGATACTTTATAAGCCCTTTATTTGGTTTTTAAATGGATTAAGGGCATAATTTTGGATATCAATTATTAGAATTTTCTTCAATATTATTTTCTTTTCGCTTGTTAGAGTTAATATATAGACATGAGTCTCTAATCTCTATTATACTAAGTATGACATATGCCCAATTTCCCAATAAAACATAAAAGGAGTTGTTAGCTAAAATTTCAGACCACGTTCGTTTTGGAGAAACATATTGCTTGAACTGTTTTCTTAGGGCTGCCTTCACGACAAAGTTAAACGTTGAGCTCATAATTATGGTAATCGAAGCCCGTAACATGAACTGCGTCCGGTTGTTTACACTCACCGCAAGGCCTACAACTTGTCGGGCCAACAATCATAAGGCACAGATGTCACTCAGAGGGCCGGACAGGTCCTGGCAGCACACTTTGGCGACGCAATCTAAATGCAAATGGCTGGCCAAAGGATCGCTTTTGGGACCAAAAAGAGCCACAAAAACCATAACCAAGAATCTGGCGCATAATGCAGCCGGCAACGGGGCGGTAAATGAGTGGGCCAACTCATTTGATGTGTAGTTGGGTGTAGTTGTGTATAGTTGTATGTGTGTGTGTGTGTGTGTATGAGTGTACTCGCTCTTGAGTTTGTGGCGCCACATAAGTAAGTACAAAGGAGCATTCACTCGGCGACGTCTGTTTCAGTGCCATTTCGACATTTGGCACAAAATTCATAAATGCTAATTTCAACACATTGTGCATACGTTACAAATATGAATATTTACCATAACTAGGCACGCACAGGCACACACACTTCGATTGCCTGCCTTGAAGAGTCTGGCAACAGCCGCAGTGGCAGCCACAGACGCACAGCCGTTGCCAGAATGAACGCCACACGCCGCAACGCCGTAGCGCCATCCGCTCCGGCCCTTTATCGACAAAAGGTTTGCCATGGTTTTAGCTATTAGCTGGTGCCTGGGCTTGACTTCGTTTCTGGTTTAATAAAAGCCTTTTGCAAAATGAAGCAATTCTGTGTGTGTTTCAGTTTTGAGCACAGGCTGACGCTGGCGCTGCCTCAAAGCCTCAAATGTATCTCGCAGCTACATTTGTAGCCCACTTGTCTGCCAGTCTGTCGATGCGTGTGTGTGTGTGTGTGAGCGTGTTGGGGCTTGGCAAATATGCGTCAAATCACACAGACGCACAGTTTTTGAATACCAAACGGAGACTACAAGCAGCACACACACAACCAAACACACACACATGCACAAGAACTAGTCAGTGCATAGTCTATATTTGTCTACTTGATGCCTCAGATTGAGATTGGTTTTGCGCCCGGGCGCTGTAATTGGTTGCCTGCTCGCCACTTGTCTGCCAACATGGTCGCTCTCACTTTGGCATAAATTGAAATTTTTCAATTGAGCCTGGCACGGCCAGAGCTGCAGAGACAACGGCCACATTATTAGTTTAAACTTGGCCTAATCGAAGCAACTAATGAGTTTCCAATAGGCGCAAAAGTGGCCAATAAGTGCACTACCCTCGAAACGTAATGAGAAAAACGTATCTTAAGCAATGCCATATGCCGCCAAACACCCCCAACTGGCAACAATTCGCCAGCTGCTGACCTCGCCGACCCACAATCCCTCTCCCTCCAGTGCTGCAGATAATTTGAATTGCAAAATCCATTCAAATTTGAGGAAACAACTTACACTTACGCTTTGGGGGGCGTCTTGTCAGGCGAATGCGCATTGAAAACCAGTTAACATGACAGACATCAAAGGGGCGTAGTTCACGATCGAATGAAAGTATTTGTGGCCAGAGTTCACTGTAGTTTGACTTTTGAGCCGGGCCCACAAAACCAAATGCAAATGAGCGACATTAGGTTTTTGCGAGGCGTCACGCTTAATATGCAAATGTTGTCTATAAATATTTAAAGCAAAATGTTGCAGCACATTTTGAGAAAACAAAATATACCAAATGCTTTACATATTTTTGTATATATGTATGTCGCTGGAATGTTTTTCATTATGCTGCCAATACAAGCAACAAAAACCAGACTAAGGCCAACATCAAATGTACATGCATAAATACATAGATACATACATATGTATATGTGTATATGTGTGCAAGTGTACAAAGTGGCGTGCATGTATTAAAAATATCTTGAAGATACTTTTGGGGCCGGCGTTAGCAGCAACTGCCCCCGAATAGCGCCGCGGCCGCTTTAGTAGCTCCCAGCAGCACTAGAAATCGGCTTTAGTAGGACGACGAAATAAACAACAACA